CCCCCCCCCCCCCCCCCGGTACAACCCTATTGTCATCAGTCATGGATTTTCCTAGGTGGCCTCTATTAATTTGGGATTATCGTTGATTGTCCCCGGAGCACAATCCTGGGCTGCTGGTCTCTTGGATTTTGCGAGAGTACTATGCCGTGTGTACTAATTACTGCATGGGACGTTTTAGATAAACGGGGAAAGACATGGGCACCAGGGCAGTGGCCGTAGGAGCGGCTACTGGAGCAGCTGGAGTAACTGGTGAAGCTGGACTGGCCGGTGTCCCGCGCCTCCTGGAGGATCTTGCGCGACTGTCAGAGGACAAGGATTCGGCCGACATTGTCTTTCTACTTGGCAGAGACGAGACTCCGGTCTACGGGCACAGAATAATCCTTCAGGCCAGGTCAGTTGTACTAAGTTTTCCTGGTATCTTGTTTTGAGAATGATCTGTTGGCAAATTTTGCTAAGTGAAATTGCGCGTCCTGGGACGGGATTAACTGTTAATCATAATTTTCATTAAAATACCTGCGTTTCGAGTTGAGGCGTCGAGCGAAATTTCCCTGGGGCTTCGAATAACGTGTGAACCGTGCAGGAACTCAGTGCGTGAGTGAGTTAGTGACAGAGAGGAAGAGGACGAAGCATTTCCCGCTGCACTTGGAGAAAATAAATCGAGGTAAAGCGGGACAATAAGCGCGACGCTTCAGGAAAGTGGAAAATTAATATCGCAACGTGATATTACTTCCCGTTGTATCGTCGATCAACTTGTCTTCGAATATTTCGCAAATTCGCGATGACGCCATCGACATTGCCAACTGTCGCGAGAAAACGAAATAGTCGGATATTCGCAGTCGTCGCGGCCACGACGGTCGTCGCTTCTATTTCTTTCATTCTTCTTTCTCGCTTTTCTCCCTTTAAACTCTTCTTTCTTTATTCTCTCAAATAGCTCTCTCTTTCTCTGTCGCAATACCCCAGAGCGGTTAGGCTTCCGAAGTGTGCCTACGCCGAGCGCGCCTTTAATCCTTCCTACGGCGAATCGCAAGCTCGTTAAATTCATAGGAGATTTTAATTAAGGACGGATCCTTAGCTCGACGTCGAATATCGCAGTGAAAGAACGTCCCAGGACTTCTTCCTGCTCGTCCTCCGGGCCCCAAACCTTATTCCCTTTCAGTCGAATCCACGTCCTCTCTGCGTCTCTCTCGCGCTCAGGCTCGTAATTCTAAAAACAGTCCGGCCATCCTCTTCAGAATTGACATCAAATATTGTCGAGGACACGCTAATTGTAAACGCAATTACGCGATCCTTCGAGCAGCTTGATATCCGTCAACCTTTTGATATTCCGTGCCCTTTGTCCTTCGACCCCAAGACCACCGGCCTGATCAAGAAAGCCAAGTTATTCATGCACCTGACAGTCGATCGGAAGCTGTTTTCCGACAATAGAGCCAGGGCAGGCGTGGACTCCAAAGGGAAAGCCAGGAATTTGGAAAGCCAATGGACCAACGTGAAGTCTCATTATCAGATGAAAAAGTCGGGATACCTAAAAAGATAACAGAGAAAGGTTGAACAGCGTGAAAACGCCTGTAGGGAAGCCGCAGTATACTCGGGGAGAGAATTTTAGCGTGGAAGTAAAAATGAAAGAACGGAATGAGATTCATCGTCATACCGGAAGTGGAGCGGTTTTTCCTCGCTGATCGGCAGAGCCGCCATAATCGCATGCTTGGTCGTTAGTAGCGAAGCCCGCGGCGACATTCAACCCTTGCCACGTGAAATGGAGCCTGGAGCGCCACCCTTACGAGCAACTCTGGTTTCTCTCGTCAGCCTAGACGAGAAGAAGAGGGTGGCGAGATGCAGTCGTTGGTCCCATTCTCTTTTACGCAGTTTGCCGCTGATTTTTTGTTTTCTTTGATTCCGTCTCTCCGTTCGTTTGTGATTAGAGAAAAGCCTTTTCTTTCTCCCACCGCATCACTCAGCGCCATTGCGTTATTCCTACTTGAATATATCTCTCTCACACGGTCGCCACTACCCTGGGCATCCTTTTGCCCCTCTGCTGCACTTACTACCCCATCTATCCAACTGTGCCTTGCAGCTTGTAGACCTCGTGTGCCGCCGTTGCGTTATTACGTCACGTACAGAGAGACATCTACAGCCAGAGGCGTCATTAAATTTGACCCGCAATAATTATTGAGAAATTCTGATTGCACGAAACGAACGCGCAGAACCTTGCGGTGGGAGGTACCCGTAAGGGGGTAGCTACCCTTTTCTGCTTTGGATTTCAAATCCCAATGCATAGGTGGGATCTCCTTTTGTCACCCTCGTCATTATGCAAGCCCAATCGTTATACCACGGATCGAACGTGTTCCAATATTTTCTTTGCTTCCCATTTTTTCTCCCTGTCGTTAAGTCACGTGACGACGTTGAAACTCCTGCGAGGCAAGACACAAGTCTTCGAGTAAGAAAAGAAAGATAAAGCGCAAGAAAGGCCCACGTGATTCCTCCTCCGCATTGGACACGTAAAAAGATACGAGGAACAAAGACGATTTCTTCTCCTGGTAAAAACCTCGAGATTCCAGAGTGTCCGACGGGTTGAACTTTCTTCTTCGCTCCTGTATTTCTATCATCCTTGCCCCCTTCTACTCTCTGCGATGGACCATCCACTATTTCTTTATACTCGGGAAAAGTACGACGGCGGCGTCCTCCGAAGGTATCCATGCGAGAACCAGATAGCGCCCAAAACATCCAAACCATCCAAAAGACTTTCGGGCTGACGTTTTTCCTCGATTCCTCGATTCCGTGTTTTCCTACCAAAGTCATTCGTCACCGAGGAAACAGTAACGTTCTACTAAAGCGTATCTCTCGTTTGGCATCTCTGTAAAAAAAATATTTACATTAAGTTAAAGAATTGCCACAGTCACTGGTAGAGCGTCGCGACGCTCATAGAAATATGATAGAGATCCGGGATCGAAATTGAAATTACCGATTTCCTGTTTCCCCAGTTGACGCGTGTCCATGGGCGCCGGTACGCTCGGCGTCCGTTAGAGGGCTGAAACTCACGTTTCAGCCGAAAACGTTCTTTGGCCAAACCAAGTGAAGGTATATACTTTTAGCGCTTTTCGCGTTGGTACCTATGCACGCTCGACGGTGGTTCTGGCCTGGAGGGTTGCGAGGTTCAGTTTTTCTCCATTGCTTCTGTGCTGCACGCGCAGCATCAAAGCGTGACTTCCATTTGCGTTTGCCCCGAAGCAGCGCGCCCTTTGACACATTTCTTTTTATTCGATACCTCCTACGCCGCGCGCTTTACATGCTCGCCCACCACTTTCAATAGGTCTTTCGCCCCTCCGACCCCCCTCGGCCCCCTTTGCTCCCCCTGACGCAGCCAAACGCTCCTGACTCCTGACGTCACGCCCCGTCGCGCTTAACGACGTCAACGTTGCTCCACCGAACCTTGCGTCCTTCTGGACTACCTTCGCAGGTGCACGCGTTCGACTTCACTCTGGCTCACTTCGCACTTTGACCTTTTTACCTTTACCAAACGATACTATTCCCTCTGAGTTCGTCTGCGTCATTCATCCTGAGTATACATAATGGCAATAAAGAACCTTTGCTGGACGTATAGGAATTGCGCTTCCTGGGTTTTTGGACCTTCCGGCTCTTGCCAGTCGACCCGGTTTTTCCTTTGAATAAACAGGAAATTCGAAGGGCTCGTTTTCCCTGTATAAACCTAATCTCTGAACAAAGCCTATCCGAGCCACGCCCTTCTTTCATGCGGAGGGCAAGAGAGAGAGAAAAAAAGAGTCCAGAGGAGCCTAGGGGTGGTCAAGCCAGATTGGAAAAATAATTACACGACCCTTTCTCGCGACTCTACTGGCCTTTCCGTACTTTTGCTATCCGTCTTTACGTTAATGCCGCTCGACGTGGACACGACAGGCACATATCTTCGTTTAATCCCTACGCACGTATTACGAATCAGCCTTATACCTTCAGCTCGTAGACTTTTCCTTGCACCAGCATAAAAAGTTTTGGACAAGTCCACGCAATTACAATGCTCATCTGATTTTTGAGAGACGCTTCAAGTCAAATCAAGCGTGTACAAGACAGAATGATCTGCTTACTATTCGTGCGAATATTGGCATAATTTTTTTTCCACAGATGCAAAAACTTCACTGCGGCTAAAAGGATTGGTACTTCTGGCAATCCTGCACCAATCAGGATGCCTCATGCACATCCTGAAACCTTCCGACAATTCGTGCATTACGTTTACACAGGCAAAGTACGATTCGACAATACTGAATAATATATACATTTGTTTATTTTAATAATTTAACTGCACTCCACGTACTTGTAATTCCTTCTTCACAGATTATGCTCCAGGACAGTGGTATTTTCGAGATGCTAGGCTTAGCTCAGGAACTAGGAGTCGAGGAACTCTGGAGAAGCTGCGAGGAACACGTGTCGGCTACTCTCAGTCCAGGAAACGCTTGCGCCTTGCTAACAGCAGCCCTCGATGCACAGGAACGCGTACCAGGTAAGTTTCTGAGTAAAGAGTAAGAAGATTATGCGAAAAGTGTAAATGGAAATGAATGATGGGAAATAAGAATGGACAGCAGGTTATCAGTATGTTTGTTGCTGGCGCAGGTAAAGTGGCTTTCGCGAAAGTTCGAATCTCGTAAAATTGCGTTAGCCAGAAGAGCCATTAGTAACTATTGTTTTTTGTCGCCTCCCCTCAAGTAGGGCTTTCACATTAACCTCGAGTCCCAACAGTCCCTTGTGTATTTTTTCGATTTTACTCTTATTGTTGGCCGCAGGTTCTTAGCTCTCTGGGTCCTTTGTGTTTTTGGCATGTTGACGAAGGGACGACTTCTGGTTTTGTGGAGGATGAGAGATACTCGAGGTAATTCCTGTGTGCTTTGAGTAGCGAAAAAATTTGCACGCGTTTCCATGGAAACTTGAATAAAATTAATTATACGCTCGGTATGACTGTGCAGATTGTCGGCTTCTACGGATTAATGAATAATCGCGAAGAATTGTCGAGTCTCGGTTGCAATATGCACAGTTACGTATGGCGGAGAATAATGGACGCTCTATTGGTTATTGGGCGTCCATGACGACGCGGTGTTTTGCTCATTCTAGCGTAATATGGTGATCGATGCAGAATTCGTGACTTTGCGTCATTCTCTATTAGCCGAGGCATCGCGAATCGGACTTTGTTTAAATGACGGAGGAGGATATTGCCCGTCAGGCGGAAGGATAGAATAAGGCCATACAGTGCACTAAGGGGAAAAGTATGATACCGCAAGCGTGACCCGTAAAAAAATGACATTCCCAAAGCGCCATCAATCTTCATTATTTTAATTTCGATATACTGCGCCTCGCCTGGCGTGGACGCTTCACGTTGGGGTCTACGACGAAACCATGGGGGAGATTCTATCCGGCGTCGTTAGCAGCGTGCTTTCGATTTACCGTGTCAAGTCGGCTACTGAGGTTCCACGACACACAACACTGCTATCACGATTTTTAGACTCTCTTTTGTTCGCGATAAGTCATTATTCGCCATTGCGTTAAATACCGTTATTTGGCCTTGCCAATGTTCCAGATCTACGCGGCGTTCGTTAGATCGGATACGCATTGTATGGAAATTAATATATTTAATTTTTATTACGACTTTCTGGCTTACCATTCCTCGATTTGACACCGAATGCTGGCAGTTACGTTTATCCATCGGCGTAGAAACAATCACACTGTTCTACTCTTCAACGGTCGACTATGTTTATCGGCTATCGGCACCGTTGTTCCTGTTCACCTTGGTTTATTAGTTCGAGGAGTCTACGCTATAGCAGCACTGTCTGGTGCCAGCAGTGTTGCCAATAGAGAGTTTAAGCTTCGGTAGGGTGTTGAGGTTGGCAATATCCGACGCCATACTTTCTTAGCGTCTTACCCGGAAATAAAAGGTTACCGCGTGTTGTTACGTTTGTCAGTTTTCACATTCTTAAGGAAAATGTCGTACAAAGGACCGCAAAAAGTACAAAAGGTGATGGTTCAACCCATCAACCTTATATTCCGATACCTGCAAAATCGATCGCGGGTTCAAGTTTGGTTGTTTGAAAATATTAATCTGAGAATCGAAGGACACATCGTCGGCTTTGACGAGTACATGAACCTAGTGCTCGATGATGCTGAAGAGTATAATATGAAACTCGACACCAGGAAACAACTGGGACGTATAATGCTCAAGGGTGACAATATCACGCTTATACAGAACACGAATCCCGGAGCTAACTAGACATCTATAACTGTGAGCTAACGTACCATAACCTCCAGTGGAAAGTATAAACATTTTTCAAAACTGCTTTTCACTTGGAGATCATCGGTTGGCTGCGCGGAGCGCAATATTCAACAACGGTGACTGGGAATTATCTTCAAGGACTCCATACTGCGGATGGGGATGGCTCTGAATAATCTGAAGCACAAACATCAGTGTGACTTGCATGTACTGCCTTTGTAATGAAAGCAAGAAGCCAGTTTTATTGAAAATCGAACTATAAAAGAATTGTGGTTGTTATTCTGAAATTCTGACTTGTGCTGTATACACATTGCACAGTTCGTAGACTTATAATTCAAGCGTAATATAGTGATTAATATAAGACACTCCATTTTGTACTTTACAAGAAAGTTCTGCACAACGATAATATACAAGAAAGATATTCATTGCAAATTTAGTATAGAATATGAACAGTTGATCCACGTTCAATAAAATTTCATTCAGAACATAATCTCAAAGGACTTGTGTTGCTTTTAACCTCTTGCGTTTCCTATAATATAAAAACTGACATACTCCATAATCTTACCTTTTTTTTATCTTGTCCGGAGTCCTAATATTTTTCTTAAAGGTGGTAAAGGAGCCTGTTCATCCTTCATCGACCGTTGTTTCGCATTTATTGGTGAAAACGCAGTAGACACTGTCAAAACAACAGCTTTCTGCAATCTTCCGAAAGATGCCCTGGTGAAGCTCATCTCCTCGGATTACCTGGGTTTGGAGGAAGAAGACGTGTGGAGAGCTGTTTTGAACTGGGCCAAGTATCAGGTTCTGCCCTATTTACAATGTATATCCAATTTTTTACAACCAAGTAGAGAACGACAAAAATAAAGAAGCAATTTTCAGGCCGGTGTAACTCAACCTACGCAACACTGGACAGAAGAGGAACGAGCCAGAGTCTGCCAGCATTTATCGGGCGTAATAAATCACGTTCGTCTTCTCTTGATAGACAGTCAAGTCTTCGCCGAGGAGGTAGAGCCAACCGGAGCAGTTCCAATGGAATTATCTCTAGAAAGATACAAATACGCAGCACTTCCCAATAAATATGCTGAAATCTGTTCGGACAAGAGACTTCAGCCCCGAGTGACACCATTCCTTCCTGGCTCCCATATTCTATCTAGAGACAAGATGGGATTTCAAAGATTGCTCAATCAGTGGTATGGTACTCCAAAACAAAGCTGGCGACTTGTTTACAGGTAAACAAATGAAAGTAATTAATATTTAACAAACTTATACCGAGCAATTAAAAGATTGTTCGGATTTCAGAGCATCCAGCCATGGCTACTCCGCGGCTGCTTTCCATAGACATTGTGATGGCGTCTGCCCAACATACGTCATAGCTCTGGTAGATAGTTGTTAGCTTTCTTTTTCCAAGCCTCTTGACAGCAATTCTGCATAAATAATCACAAAATTTAATTCATTCTTTCAGGGGGCTCGAGGAGAAATATGTGGTGGGTTCAGCGATGCTCCCTGGGGTAAGACCAATGCCAAGGGTCACTATATTTCTTCTGAAAAGGCCTTCCTCTTTACCTTAACAAACAATCAGGACGTACCACCAACAAAATATGATATTGTGAAAAAGCCATTCGCAATTTGCTACCATCCAGAGTGAGAGAGCCTACAGTTTTTAAATATCCAAGGAAGTAATGCAGTCTTCGTAATTTCTATTCTTCTTTCAGCATTGGACCGATCTTTGGTGCTGGAGCAGATCTTCTGATTGCCAATAATTGTAATACAAATATGGACAGCTACAGTAACCTTCCGCATAGTTACGATGGGGAGTACGCCTCAAACACTGTTCTAATGGGTGACTATCACTTCTCAGTCATAGACTACGAGGTCTTCACCCCCAGCCATGCTGTTTCCAAGTCATAAGATTAAGAGCCGAATAGCCAGTTTTTGCAAGTATTCATATCTGTAAATATATCTATGGTAAGTCAGTAGCCTGAAACCTTTGTACGTATAAGAATCTTGAGAATTGTATTTCTCAACCCTCAACGTTTTCGTCGTTTATTTCTCTTCCTGACTAAAGCACTGTATTTAAGAGTTCCTCGACTCAAAGATTCTCAATAAATTATGAATGTTAAAGTTAACGGCACATACGTGGAATAAAGGCGCTTGCATTATGTACATCTGCACGATCATACGTCGCGATGCTAATTCGGTTGCAGCTGTTCTCGTTTCAACAAAATATTTTTTCAGGTTCATCAGACATAAAATACGTGCCGTCTCGAAGTGCTTTTAGGCTAATGACGAATCAGAGCATTATGATGGGAAGGCATCTCGTCGAAAAACGTTGGAATGTCAAAGAATTCCAGCCGATCGAATCGTTAATGAGGCGTTATACGATGAAAGAATCCGTACACGATCCTATTCCCACGAGAGCATCCCGGTGGATCCCTCTTTAAGATTTGGTAATTCACGCTGGGCTATTTGCCGGATGTACCAGGTACACTCCTTAAAAAATCCATATTTAATGCTGAATAAATTGTCGAGGGTTGCCTTGCGCCCAGTAACTCGAAAATAATTTGTAAGAGCGACGCGCGCTCGTGTTTGGGACCCCCTGGGTGGGACGCGACGCCTCCAGAGCCTATAAATCGGTTTAATTGATAAGTAATAGTCGGCGCGAGTCGAAAGGAGTCCGAAGAATGCGGCCCACTTGTACCACGGGTCCACATAAATTTTCAAGGAACCGCAACCATTCACGACGCTCCAAAAGGTACGAGGGTGCATCGGCTCAGTGTCTCTTAATAATGACTGAATGATTTAAGAGATTCAAAACCATTCTCCAGAGAATGTCTATTCAAACGAGTTGGCCGTGGGATCACTTTCGTTTAAATATTTTGAAAATTCAAAGAAAAATAGAAATCTACTTGTACCGGCTCTCATTCGTGAACGTCTCCATTTAGGCACACTGGACGATCTGGGAAATTCGATGTTTCATGGATTCCCTGAACCGGTAATCGTTCGACGTACGAGGCCGTGACACGTGCGGATAAACACGTTCCCATAACGTGAACGACTCAAGAGACAGCACCATATTGTGGAGGATTATTCGGTAGTAAAGGCCTTAGGGATCTGCCACAGCCGGCTTTAATAATACCGGCTCAATCGTAACTCAAAGATACCCTGACCTTATGAACCCTGCTCACATAAAGCACACCTTTATATATACGGGAAGTATCATACACACGGTTATCGGTTGTCCTAGAGCAGCCACGGCGAGGAATCCTCGCGAGGAGAAAGATTTGTCTCAAAAAAAAAAATGTCAAACCGATTCTAAGAATTATAATCTATTTTCTCGTTAATTTTACTCCGATGCTGATAAGTATTGATAAGGTGGATAAATGCCGAAGAATTAAATAGGTAAAACTGCCAGTCGATTGGGGTGGGATGACATTGGCGATATCTTGTCGAAATTAATTGATAGTGTCCAAGGTGCGATCATTATTCGCTGAAGTAGGCGGGTTTATATTATATATATATATATATATATATATATATATATATATATATATATATATATATATACACACACACATAATACGTATACATATAGCACGGAGGTAGAAGCGGGGAATGTACACTTTATGCACGTTGAATATTCATGCGGAGGCATTATGAGTTAGTGCCCGGGATCTTTTTTCGCCGAGGTTTATTATATTACCTATTTATGCCCGTAACCTTTCCGTAGGTTCACACGCAATCCCATATTTTCGTGACCCGCCAACGTCGGGACGCTCTCGTAAGGGCATCTATTAGTTCAAGGCGTCCTTTGTCAAGGCTATACAGAGGAATATGAGAGGTGAGTTGGCGCTCGAGAGAAATTTCAAAATCATCTTTATTCTGTCGAATTTTATTCCCTTGGAGAATCGTTCGTGTATTTTTATTTGGAAAAAAAAAGAAATCTTTAACATTATCCTTCGAGCGAAGGAGACTCTCGGCGATGCGCGTCCATTGCTCCACGGTGCAATGGATACGCACCTTACGGTACGATAAGATACATATATAGATATACGTGTAAAACGGAAAGTAGCGAAAACATTGTAGAATTATATTATTTAATACACATTATATCGTTTATATTAATATACGATATGATTGGGGAAGGGGGGGGGGATAGTCTTATAATTATTCGCGTAATTAATTATATATTTACAGATTGGTACTACTGGCCCTGCGTCCCATTTCGCAAAGTACTTGCCGATCATTTATTTATTTACAAGCCTCTCTACCGTGTCTAATATATAATTCATCGCTGTGATTCATCATTAAGGCGCGCACGGAAGAGAGCGGGAGTGAGAGAGATCGAGATAGAGAATGACAGAAGACCCTTCTCTCGCATCGCTCTTTCAGTATACGTCAACTGCACGTGTCCGAGTATCTTCTGCATAGGATTAATAATAAAGCGCGATACGACTATTCGACTGCTCGTGTCAAAATACTGGCCATTGTTGACTATGTCGGTTCGATGTCAGCGATCGCAATTCGATTTGAAAGACAATTGTTGCTTATATAATTAATATACGTATACTTAAAAATCGACGTGATTGTCAATTAGCAGGTAGCATGAAGACGCAATACCGAGATAATATATATAGTGATACTATTTACAATATTTATACGTGCGTGTGTATGCATATATATATATATATATATATATATATTTTATAATTCGCACAGAACGTGAACAATGGTAACGCGTCCTCTTATGAAATATAGGATTGTCATGGTAGTGCAAAATAATTTCCGAGAGAAATTAAAAATATGTCCTTTCGCAGGACGACACCGAAGGATACGAAAAAGCCGGATACAGTTTGTCCTCTGTGATCGCGCATGCTCGGAGAAATTGGAAAAATGGTCAAAGGGTCTTTAAAGAAAAGCGCTGTCCCCGCGTCCGGTGCTAAAAGCGAATCTATGTTCGGTAAAACGATCCTATATCCGGAGATAAGACAGTCGCAAAGATATTGTCCATCTTCAGGTGGAAGCTCGCACTAAGACTAAGCGTATCCGCAGCGAATAATTTAGCCAATGACTAATGAGTCCTCGGGATCGACCTGATAAGGTTATCGGCGAAGATCTTCGAGACTCTTGGAATTACATTGATTATAATAAAGTATCGAGGTAACAAGAGTCTCGAACTATTCCGCGGAAGAGGACGAAGGACAAAAGCAAGCGAGGCTGCGCTCGATGAAGCCGATGAAGCCGATGAAGCCGATGAAGGCGTACTACATTGGCAGGCATCGAAGTCTTGTAAGATAAAGCGTCCCGAACGTTCAACACGTGTCTACAAGTTTGTAACACGTTGCGAACATGTGCTCGGAGCGTTGACGTGTTTATCAGCCGACAGTTCGATAGTGTGCGCTCGCGACAGAGAAGGGTGCTGGAGTAGCGAGAAAACGGAGAGAGACGAGAGGAGTTGAAGAGAGAAAGAGAGAAAGAGAGAAAGAGAACTTGTGGCTGCCGCGCTCATTAATTAAAGCGCGCGGCTCGTTAATTCGATTCCGTTACAACGGTGAAACGCGATAGCTCGCTTTAGTCGATGGCTTAGGCATCCGATCAGCCCAGGTTAGTCGCGAACCTAGTAAGCTGCCAACTAACAGAGTAAGAGAGTGAGAGAGTGAGAGAGTGAGAGAGTAGGCAGCCAACTAACTCGCCACTGGCACCAATGATTCTACTACGTTCGATTACATTCTACTTCATTCTACTCGATTCTGCTCGATTCTACTCGATTCTACTCGGTGACTCGAGCACTGGCAGTCGCCTCGACTCGATTCGAATTCATTGGCTGGCTTTTCTTGGAGCTGCTGAACTAATCGCGATCGCACGTCCCCTATCTCTTTACGAGGCTGCCCTTTCCGAATTGCCGATACGAGACTTTAGCTCCTCTCGATTCTTCCTTTTCCTCCTCTTCTTCCTCTTCTTCTTGTTGCGTTGCTGGTCTCCTCCGTCCTCCTCCATCTCGTCTGGTCGATTATTCCTGGCGCAATCTAGGAACGCAGGATAATCGGTAAGACGGTGGGAAGTTTCGCGATTCTTCATGTAAATATTCAGGGGAGTGTCTCATTGATATTCTTGGTAGGAATTATTGATACCCTTATATTCTCGTGGTGAGGTCTATGGGAGCAGGTCGCCTCTTTACGGGAGGACTGTCCCGGTCGCTGTCGTCCTCCATGTCGACGTCCTCGTCGCTCTTGATACTTAACGGGGTCGAACTCGCCCTCAGGATCGTCGGGCCTTTCATGGAGAGGTCCATGGGATTCTCCTGTGGCGGTGGACTGTGGGCTTCTGGTTCAGGACTGTTCCTGGCCGAGTTGTCCTCGGACTGAGCCTTGCTGGATGCTGGCGAGTAACTCGGGGGCGTCCTTTGACTCTTCAGAACTGCGTCCAGGTAGAATCTCTTGGTGTAGGCTTCGACTTTATCCGAACCAGGCGACACGCTCGCAATTTGCGTCACGGTGTTCTGATTGTGAGTGTATCTATTATTGTTGTTGGTCGTTGCATGATTATTGTTCATAGGCGTAGGCGTGCTGGCGCTCGTCGGCACGGGAGCCATTGGCGTGTGCTGAAGAATCCCAGGGGTATGACCTGGTAGCAAGGGGTGCGGTGTCCCGTGGGGTGCGTATAGGTGATAGGGTGAGAACATGGAGAGACTCGGTGGTGGTAGAAACGCAGGAGGGATGAGAGACATGCCGCTCAGTGGAAATCCGAGAGGGAGTCCCATCATTTCCTTGCTGAGGACTGACAGGTCTGGTGAGTGTTGCGAATGGAGCGGCCTGAAGCCTGGATGATTCAGAGCTGCTCTTCTCTCAGACACTTCCACCGAACTGTCGCTATTCAGAGACTCTGGTGAACTGATGCTGGGAGAGGTAGAGTTCTTGTAATCATCCAGACCAAGAAGAAGAACATCGTCCTTACGTCCAGGATGACCGATAGAAGGGCTCGTCTGATTCTGCGTCTGATGATGGTGACCTTGATGATGAGAATGATGATGATGATGATGGTGATGCTGTTGCTGCTGCTGCTGCTGCTGTTGTTGCTGCTGCTGCTGCTGCTCCTGCAGAAGACAGTGGATCTTGAACCAATTTGATCTGCGTCCGTATCTCGAACCCGACTTGGACATCCCCACCAGGAGGCACTTCCTCAGCCTGCAGGCCTTGCAGGCAGTTCTGTTCTTCTTATTGATAACGCACTCCCCGCCATTTTTGCACTCGGAGATGCTGTTCAGATTGTTGTAGGATCTCCCGAAGAAGGACTGCAAATCGAGAAAGAGAAGAAAAAAGGATTAGAGAAAAACTTCAAGAAATTGCAAGTAATACAAACGTAACAGAGTATTGAGTGAAAATGGCGACCGAGAGAGGATGGGAGTACGAACCTAGATAATAGTTCTGAAATTGCGTAGCAAAGACTATGGAAACGACGGTCTGAGCGTTTAAATGCCACGTAACCCGGTAAACCCGTGCAACATTATGCTGGAGGAGTTAAGTTAGCGTAATCACACTCTCATTGTTTCATTCATCGGCAGCGGAGGTGGAGAGGCAGATTCAGGAGTGCGCTCGAGGAGGAGGTGGACAGACAGGCAGGTAGGTTAGGTAGGTAGGTAGGTACCTGAGGTATACAGACGGTCCCTCGAGAGCGGCCAAGGCGCGTGCGGCCTACTATTTCATCTAATTGTCCAAATGGTGCAACCGTGCGATTCCGACACGGTTTCGTGCTAACCTCCCGTGCGAGTTCCTCTTCAATTCATTCCTCCTCCACTCTGCTTTCTGGGACGCTCAGATTATCCTATCCCTTGTCTAATCGTGCCGTGCGAAATGCTGGACATTTTCATCGCACCGAGTGGCCTCTGCCTATATTAGCTCAAAGAATACGAAACGTTACGCGTGTCGAAGGCTCTTCAAAAGTCGAATAAGTCATGGCATCTTTTCCCTCGAGCTCCCTCGCTGTCCGGAGGTACTTAAAGATGCTCTTGTCTCGTGGCTTCTACCAAACACCGTTAGATACCTACACCTTCGCTCCTTTTAAGCACCGAGTCACTCGAGTTGTTCTCGTTCACCTGTCGCACGTGTGTCGAAATTGTTTCTTAGTAGAGGCACCGCGTCGCGACGGTCGCGACGCGTATGCGAATCAGGGCGGCTGGCGATCGAAGCAGAACGGACGTTGCTTTAGCCGTCGACGACAGCGCCAGCGTGCACGGCGGTTGGGGAGTGAACTAAAATTTGAAGCGTTCGTTACTATTCGCAGAGTCCCGGAAAACGATGGGACGTGCCTGACCTCGCGTCGCGCGGGACATTAATTTACAAGAGTTCTCTGACTTTCGCTTTTTTTTTTCTTTCTGCTTGACACGCGGAATATTATTAATAGTTTCTGGTTCGTTTGTCCTGAAAACGAGCTCTTCCTCTGGCCCAGTGTTCCCAATGCGCATCGCCGAGACTCCTAGCCAACTTTGTATAGGCTCTCTGCGTTCCACTTGCTCCACGTTGCACGCAACGTCTGGCGTCGGTCTGTACGAAGTCGGCCTGGTCGCCGGAGACCGACAGAGTTCTTAGGGAACGCTGACACAATCATGAAAATGCTACCATTATGTCTTCCGAAAGGGAGGCCAGTTACGCAAGCGGCTGAGGTCTCCGAAGTAAGTCGACGTGAGAACATTCGTCGACCTCGAGGACACTTTCCCGTGTCCCCGGATTGTGAGAGGAACTTCCGAAAAAATGGACTCCTCTCCCAGGAGAATCGCGCGCGCGAGTTGCAGCCATTAGAAAAAAGCGTTATTGGGACACGAGCCAGAGAACAAGAGGATCGGTTAGGGAAATACAGAGCGCAGGTGTCCCTGGGCGTGAGTTTCGCGATTTCGTGCCGCCACTTCGTGCCGAGCTCGTGAGCCGTTTCGAAGCGGGGGGCTTCCGGCGCTTCGCACTTGTCCGCCACGATTGTTTCCGCCCTAGTTACCGATTACGTCAGATCGACATTGTTTCGTTTCGTTATTTTCGTTTTCAGGCCCACCGTAGCATGTCACCTCCCGCTCCTGCACCGTAGCTACTGCTGCCACTACCATCGCGACTGCCACCACCATCGGCAGCTCCGACAGCAACACCGACATCGCCATCAGCTATTACGATCATGGACGTCAATGCGGAGGCACCGCTACCACCATCGGCAACACTGCCAGCGCTACCACTTCTGTCACTACGACTAGTACCGGGACTATCGATGCTACTACTACTACTACTACTATTATCACTACCACTAGTAGCTGGATGCTCCACTACTATTCTCGTAGCAGCCACCTCCTTTTCCGCAACCATCTCCACCGGCAGGACCTCCTGCACCATGAAAGAGTGACAGTCAGAGTTGCGCCGTGAGCTCGCTAGACCGCGGCAGCTCGGCAGAAACGGTTATGTTGTTTAGACCGAGTTTAGAGACTTTGGGCCCTCTGACACGCATGCCTAGCCAAACGTTTAACCTCGGGCCCCGTGAGCGACTCGTGAAAGCGATTCCGAGGCTTTGTGAAATCCGCGCCAGTTTAACAAGAAATAGAGAAACACTGCAGGGCCCAATGCAGGGAGCGGTGCGTGAGCACTGCTGCCACGGGGTAGCTCAGGTTCCTGATATCGTAAATGGATCTCAGTCCGATCTTGCCGTTGCGCAAAGCTCGAGGGTTACCTTATGAGTCTTCTCTACTTCGCTTATGAGCGATCAGACGTAGGATGTCAAATTGATTCGGAAGATTCACTGACCTTGCAGCCCTCGCACGTAAAGGCGCCAAAGTGGAAACCAGCGGCTGGTTCGCCGCACACCTTGCACTGCTGATTCATCTGAAACAGAAATGGAGAACCGACGTTCTAGAAAAGTGCCGACTCGAATCTCGCGTAAATATTGCAATTCAGGAAACTGGATCGCGAGTCGAGCGCTGGAAGAGAAAATCGGTTGGTATCGCCCTGGTGATCGGCGGTGGCCACGCATTTTCTACGGAGGTTTTCCCTACCGCGTGGAACCATAAGAGAATTCGATTTGGTCGGGACGGGAGGAACGAAGGGAGAGGCAGAGGATAGAGAAAAAAAAAAACGTTGACTGGATAGCTAGTCTTGCGCAACCTAATATTTTACCGTTCGATAAATCCACAATGTAATCGTTATCGCGCACTCGCCCCGATCGAGCCTGCCGTTGGGAAAGAAGAGGAGGCCTTGCGCAATCCGCGAATCGCTCGATCGTGGAAAGCGGTGCGTGTTGCGTTCAACGAGCGGAAAATTCCGACTTTTTTCCCGGTATTCCTCGAGAAAACGAGAGCACCGATCCCATACCGATTCTATACCGATTCTATACCGATCTTCCGTTCCGAATTCTCTTCCCCTTTTCGTCTATTCGCTCCTTCCCATTAAGTTCACCGAGTTTATGACAATTCAAAAATCCCGCCAGCCAGGCGCCTGCACGGAATACAATAGAATAATACAATATATAAGGAAGATGCTGTGAGAATGATGCGTGGAGGAACGATTTGCCTCGGGAGAATCCATAGGAAGAGCGAGCTCCATTAAAGTCTTAATCGATCCACGCTCCATCGATCTTTGCGGGATGATTCAAGGATCCTTCGTGACCTTTGATCCCCGCTGTTAAAAAAACCGCTCGGCAATTCGACCAGTTCGCAAATCGACGACGCTTTTGGCTCGGGACAGACGTTAACGAGATCGGCATCCGGGAGGAGACGCATTTGCCAAATGGGTCTCCAGCCGCTCGGCCATTCTTCCTTGATAGAGCTGCTCTCCGAATTAATAGATTTTTACCAGAAAAAGCCTTAAGACAAGCCTCATTCGCTACGCTGTCTCTTGCGCCAGTCCTGACCATTTTGGAGCGTGGTCTAATAGCGCAAGGTACATGTAAGAGCGCGAGAATAAAAAAAGAAGCTGAACAGAGAAGATGAATCATAACTCGCTTGGCCCGAGTCAATCGGGCATTTTATCCCAGAGTTTAGGAGACCAAAAAATGAAATAGTGACCCACATATCGACGTACCGGAATATCGGCATTCGCGGCTTTCATACATGACGGGCTGTCGCTAAATGGGAAAGTCAATTTGAGCTAATGGAAGAGACATCAGCTGTTTGATCAACCGTTTCGAACGTCCACATTATCTCTCCCTCCTGACCTACACCCTAGAGATGTTGACTCTCCTCGTTCGCGGCAACTGACGGGAACCGACCCCGTCTACCCGGGAGAACGTCACGTGTTCAATCCCTCCTCTTCCTCTTATCGGCGACGTCCTTGCTGGACCATAGACTACACACGGGTAGCCCAGACAGCCACGTTGCTCTCCTACCGGACCCTAAAACTACCTAGGGTCAGGCAGGCTGGACACTTTCCGACTCCAACCGTAGACCCTCGGTAGACAACAAACCTACGGTAAGACTGGTTTTCGCGAAATCGAATCATTGCCAATCAGAAACCCCGACGATTTTCCTCGGAGCGATCGCTGAGTCAGCTGCGCGACGCTTGACCGAGACAACGTGGGATTTCTCTTTTGCGCGACTTTTCGCAACTGTCACAGAGCGCTGAACATTTTCGAGTCCGCCGGAAAAACTCGGGCATCGAGGATTGTGTGGCAACCGAGGCTCGCGGTTCGCCGTTCGTGGTTCAATTGCCGCGGCAGAACGTGTCCTACGGGGGCCAGTGCACGCTTCCAGGCCAGGTCCAGGCCAGGTCCAGCCCAGGTCCAGCCCAGGCAAAACAATCGACTCTCCAGCGCGCCGTGTCATTCAATTTTAACGCGTCGCGCTTCCCTCGCTAACGAGATGCCATTTTCCTTCTCTTTTCTTCTCGACTTGGACAGAAATCGAATGACACATTTAAAAAGGGACTTTTTTTCGGCTGGCCAATTGGACCGACCGAGTCATGCTGTTTATAAGCGTGGACGTTCAACCGTGGAAGAATTAGTCGACGGTATTTCGAAAACTAATTTCTATCCCGAACGATTGTCAAATTCGAGAAATCTTTCTAACGTCCAGTTCCAAGGGCTGAGGTTGCACTAGGGCTGTTTTTTTTTTTTCTACAAAAGGCCCTATGGGATCCCTGTGAAATGGCGTGGATCTCCTGATTATCAAGATCGGCGATCGTGAAGACTCAGACCTTGCCGAGCAGCGAATTGCGCTGGGAGCGATCGAGCCGTGAGAATCGTAACAGCTCCTGCCGTAGCGCAATCGACGATAATGCGACCATTGACTAATGCTCCTTCGGTGCCGGCTAAGAATCCTGAGCAGATCGTTCTCCTTTCCCTGTGGGGCGACGATCATCCGGGAGGAAACTGACCTTCCACATCAACGAACCTCTGACCTCCTGGGACGCCTTCAAGAAAAATTCCTCGACTACCTTTGCTGCCGGTATAATACAATTAAGGCGATCGAGTCTTTACGATGGTAACGATGCTTTTTATGCTCGCGCATTGCCGTAAGTTTTTACAGAGGCGTGCGAGGACACAGTGTCACCGAGAAGCGTAAAAAATAACGAGGAGGAGAAAAGTAAAAGAAGAAAAAAGAGAGAGACACGGGTCGTAGGACTTTTTGCAAAGGACCGTCATTCGGGTTTATTGGCGAAAATGGCACTCGAGCCCCGTCGAGTCTCGAAGCGTCGAAGCAGTAAACTGCCGAGTTCCCCGGACGCGCCAGTATTTCGTGCAGTAAAACGTGCAGCGCGCCAGAAGCCCCGAGTTCGGGTCGTTTAGCCTTTTCCTTTTTTTATTCCTCCTTTTTTTTTCTTCGGCACTTTTTCTCAGCAATAAATGCTAATTATTCGGAGACAATTGTAAAAAGTAGCGGTCGCCTTTAAGAACCCTGGTTACAGGCCTAATGGATCGAACCGACCTGGCCCAGGGTGACTCTTCCTCGACGCCTTTACCGACGGCAGCGACCTCGCTCGCGCTATTACGTATCACGGATTGTCCTGGAGTTCCCGCGATGGACTTAAGCGATGTGATTTATAGCGTATTAGCCGAGGAGGTACGAGGCCACGTAAATAGGAATAGAAATAGGATAATAATGGATAGATGCAGCCGAGAAAGTCAACAAAGGAAAAACCCGCTGCGAATCGTTACGAGATCCATTATATCTCGGCTGAACGCATCTCAAGGAGTTATTATAGCTCGCGATAAAAATCTCCCGCGATATATTCTCTTTCTCTCTCTCTCTCTCTCTCTTTCCGTATACGCGGAGACTTAATGCCGTCGCGACAGCGCGATTCATCGGCAGGAATATCGCGGGACGAAATGTGCTCGTGCGACGGATGAAAAAGACTCGTTTCCAACCGGCGACCGATTTCCCGTTGCGTTACCTTACGTGCGAGATACTCGGGAATATTGCACCGTTTAAAATCATTAAGATCATTACGGCTGCCAAAGGAATCGCGTGCTTTGGAGTCTATGGTAACGGATTGTCCGAGCTTTCGCTCAATGGTCTTCTACGCGTCTATGCAGAAATGACTGCTGGCTCTGTGCGCCTGATTGAGATCCTATCAAACCGTGACGAGGCTGACGGTGCGGATGATCCTGGCGATCGCGCTGGATCATCCTCGGGAGGATCGGTATAGGAAATTCATAGAAGACGGACAGAGATGATCCTTACCTCGGTGTCCTCAGTGTGTCCAACTGTTGTGCGTTATCACAGTTATGCGATAGAGTATCCAGAGGGCGGGCGGGGGGTGGCGGAGTTAGAGGGAGAGAAAAAGAGAGAGAGAGAGAGAGAGAGAGAGAGAGAGAGAGAGAGAGAGAGAGAGAGAGAGAGAGAGAGAGTGTGTGTGTGTTTAGATTAATCTTTTTCTCACTTAAATCTTTAGGGATAATATCCCATTGTCACTGCATCAGCTGGCAAATTCACGTATCTCTAAACGTTCCTCACTGTTCACTGTTTCGATCGAAGATCGATAATCGATCGTGCAAACTGTCAATGATCGATGTTCATGGATTCACCTGATTTTACAAAGAGAAACTGTCAACCGGTTCTACACCTCGCGCATCTAGTCCTTACAGCGTATATCCATGTCATCCAAGGGACTTCCGGTCGGTTCCTCCAGGTGCACTGATACATTCACGAAATCCCGAGAAGAAAAAAAGGTCCAGACGAAAGGCAAACGTGTCTTCACTGCCGTTTGTCAGCGCTGACCAAGACGATCCTCAATTAACGGCCGAGTCCGAAGAATTGGCTGGAGCAACGGGTGGCAGGTCCTCTTCCATCGATTCGTCGATCGAGCGATGATCCCGGGTGGACCGAGGGAGGAAAAGAAGCGAGAGCAGAGCTCCCAGGAGAACGGAAGAGAGCACGGTGCACTGCGCGATGACCGTTAGGTGAATGACTTTCGAAGGCGAGGGTGTCCACGGCGATTCTTGAATCGGAATCCCCACCACGCCGGTTTTGAGTGGTTGTCGTTCTCGTCCACCTTCCTCCGTCTTCCTCTTCGTGGGCTAGAGAGACCTGGTCCCTGCGATTGCGACTGCGACTGAGCCAGTGGCGACGATGCAGCGCGATCGTGCTCGTACTTCGTGGCCTTATGGACACTGTGTGTTGGATCACCGGAGAAGCGTGCAGGGTCCATCCGCGGCACAGGTGGGCCGCGGGTCCTGGGCTGAGTGGGGGGACCCTTGCGGTGGGGGCACAAGGGAGGGGCCTCTCATCTGGTCCCCTCTCTCGGGACCCTCTCTCACGGGATTCTCTTTCTCTCTTTCTTCTCAAGATCCACCGTGGACCGCCTCAATAGCAATGATCATCATCAGCCACCCACGTTACCTTCACCACGTCGCTACCTCTGGCACCCGACCTCCTCTTCGCTTCCTCCTCCGCCACTGGACACTCCGTACCGATAACCCATGGGAATTTGCAATTCTACTTTGGGAATGGGTCTCTTGCCTTTTTTCACCAAACGGGACTTGCTGCTGGTTAGGCAGCTGGTTAGGCAGTGACGCATTCAGCCAGCGAGACTTGCCAGTTAGACAATCAGTCGCGCACGAAAAGGAAAGAGGAAACTGAGAAAGGACCGTTGCGGCATCGCTACGTAATACCTGAGCTACTGCTGAGCTGCTGGGCTCCTGAGCTGGAGGTTCCTCGTAAACTCGTGACCGACGAGGTGCAGTAGGTTGGACTGGTGTACCCGAGGGTTAACTGCCCATTGGAAGGTTATTATCCTGGGGAAGTAGATAACCCACCGTCAACTTTCAATGATCCGTGAATTTGGAGAAAGACGTCATTGCGGAGACGGGACATTCGATGAGAATCCGGACGAGTTCACTCAATTCGCCTCACGCCCAAGAATCGATCCATCCCTCGCATCTTAACCTTTGCGAGTCGCTGCTTCGAGATTCAAGATCATCCTCAGGCCACTTCACAGCTTGGATAGCTACGCACGAGGTGCCGATCTTCGCGATCTTCGCTTTACGCGCTGCTGCTCCCTATACCCAATATCTCGATACCGTTCAGTGTTTTTCGAAAGACAAAGGCTCGCGGGTTACTTGTCGCCTCGAGGGATTGCCGAGTCTTGCACTTGACCATTTCAATCCAATTTTGTGAAACAATAAGCGGCGCCTAGCGTCGCGGTCCACTTTCTTGAGTAACGAAAAGCGTTTTGCAATGGCGACGGCTTATCGGTGAGATCGGTTGTTCGATTTTCGTAACTACGACAATTTACCCTCTTCCGCCCCCCCTCCCCCCGCGCGCCCCCCTACACCTCTTTCAATAGCACGCGCGTGCGCCGGTGCGTCTAACGTCGAATTTTCACCGAACCGTCCCGTCCTGTGTCAGAGCTGTCCTTACCCGCAGCGACGGAGCCTCCGGCTAAGAATTGTGGCACGACGATAATTAGTAATTTCAGCCCGCAGTTCCTTCTCGGACGCCAGAGGAGCCTCCGGCCATATTCGTAATTGTATTAAAACGATATTCGACGTGCACCTTTACGCGTCGCTTATCGACGAAAAATACTTCGCCAACTGAGTTTGCACAATGGACTCTGTCATGCGGTTCGACGCCAACAAACACCTCAACGCTTTCGATACTCCATTTTGATTTTTATTGCCACGATCTTTTTTCCCATAAAAATGCAGGTACTTTTCTTTCGAGCCGATTACTTGCCTGTTTCTAAATAGGTAATTTCTTTTTCTTTTTTTTCTAATCACCGCATGACAATTCAAATACCAAAATATACTCACCCGTTAGAAAGTGCGAGTGCGAGAATTGGTAATCCGGTGAAAAGTTCCCGAGTACTTTCGATCGAGAGTATTTCCTCGGGGCTTGGGTCGACCTTCTTCTCGAAAGACCCTCTGCCGTTGGCCACGGCACTCTTCGAGCTATCCTCGTAAGTTCAGGTGCTGCTCGTTTCTATCGGATATTTTATATTTCCGTGAAAAATCACAGAAATCCTGAGAAAACGTATCAGGCTGCTCACGAACGAGGAACTTTTGCCAAGCATGCGGACTGTACTGTATTGCAGGTATAGAGTGGAGCAAGAAAGGACGTTATGATGTTTTCCCTTCGAAAAGGACAGCGATGTCGTAAAGCAATGATGGCGGCCATTCAAACGTTTTATCAGCACCCGAATTTTAGGGTCTAACGTTGCTTTAATTACAAATGCTCTGCCGTGCCTCTCCTAATCCTCTCCGAGGCAATAATCCCTTCGATAATCCATGTAAGCTGCCATTTTTTCAAATTCATATAAAATCCCAAGCCTTTTATTCTTTTCGAATGTAAATAACTGTCATTTGTTTTTATTCAATAATTTTTTGTCGGAAGCCACTCTGTAATACCACCAAACGAGAAGTATCATTCACTGATAAGAAGTCTGACTGACGAACCTTCTGCCATGGAGCCATTGCTGGATTCCCTTGTTCTTTAGATCTCAACTCGATTTTCGCAGCGAGACTTTCCGCCTATATAATGGAATGTAAAAGAGACTAAATGCACACAATGTTTGTCGAAGTAATACACAGGCTGCAATTATCGGCGTGCAATACTGAAAAGAAATTATATAACGCCTCGCTGTTGTGACCTTTCCTCAACTTTGTTGTAAGCCAAGCTGGAATATCGTTATTTTTATTCTGTCAAGAGGGGAGACTTCCATGGAAGGCGAGCCGTATAGAATGTGACGTAAATCCCGGGAAGACTCGACAGGTGGCGCCACGTGTACCGTCGCTCCGTAGTTCCTCCTCCGTTCGACGCCCAAAGGAAAGGGCGACAACGCAAGAAAAACATCGGCTACTCGACTGGACGCCACGGACTCCACGGACTCCCAGGACTCCCTGGAATCGGTAAGTTCCTCGTGATTCTCCATTGGCTCTTGCCGACGTCTCACCACGTCCTTGGAAAACTCACCGCGTCTTGCGTTCCTGGCAAACTGGACCTGTCGACAGGCTCGTTACTCAATTCCTTTACCAACCACCCAACACACAGAGACACGGAGATCGCATACGGACACTTTGACATTTTCTTACCGCTATAAACTTATCGAACGATAATTGTGCGATCGCTCCGACACCTAATTAAGTCATCAAACGTCGTTTTATTAGGTTGCGGTGACTGTTACCTTCTCGAGTAACGCCGAGCTGCGTACCGCGCTTCTACCTATACCCCATGGGCTATAACTCTAGCTACGTGCCTACGTCCACGATAAATGTTTCGAACGTTATAATCCCGAGTCTTTATGTTTTTACTTTCTTTTCAATCGATTAAAATCACTAGCGGCCACGAGGTAATTAATTAATTATCGCGTGATCGGTCGAGATACAAATTCATCGGTGCATGATATTACCATGTAGACCTCGGCTAGATTTTACCAAGATGGATGAGACAGTACTGTATCTGGCTGTTGTCGTAATCAATATCTTTGAGGTTATGGGTCATTTATAGTACAGCTCAAATGTATTTACTCGGCTCTACAAATGCATGTGAAACATTTAATCACGAGAGGCTCGTTGGTCTAGGGGTATGATTCTCGCTTCGGGTGCGAGAGGTCCCGGGTTCAAATCCCGGACGAGCCCAGTTTGCGCACGTGCGCTTTTGCACGTGCAATTTTTTTCTAGATTCCTTTATCGTCAGAGAGCTGTTCCACGGAACGACGGAATGATGAATTGTCTCGGAGACGAAGCTCCTAAGAACGAGACGGACGTTTCTGGCTGAGTCGAGACTTCTGCCGTGACTTTTGGTTGCGTTAACCCCATTGCCCAGAGGCCGTAGGTCAGTAAGTTGTGACTGTGCGTTACTTCAGTTTTAGTCGATTTCGGTGAAAATATTTTCGTGACGGGGAGGAGCGCGAACAGACGATTTAATGGTTTTAGCGATGCCCAGAGGCGTCGCTTGACATCTGACCTTATGAACTGCCATTTGCGATCCTCGTGTCTTTAATTTTAATATGTTTACCTGGAATGAACTCGGAGATTTCTCTTCGATCGATTCACCGCTTTTTCGATACTGAACTATCAGTTTTTAAACGTCTCATTATTACCATCAAACTTGCCTAAAATTGATTTCGTCACGTACCTGGAAAATACACGTAATCAAATAACACATATGCCATAACGTCCATAATTCGATATTTATGATATTTTAAATTTCATGGAATTCATCAAATCCATTACCAAAGTTCCAAAAAACTTCACCGATCATCTCGATCTCTCCAGCCAAGATACCCAAGATCGAGAGCTACGTGCTGATATCCAAGACGAAAGAGCGGCGTCACGACGGCGAAGACGCTCGGATCCAGAGTCGCACAATCGCGGCTAATTCACATGGTAAAAGTTATTCCAATCTGACAGGCGAATTCGTGCGTATGAAAAAGTCGTGCCGTTGCGCAAGTCGAGCGATCGTCGATCCGTAGATCTCTGGATCCTTGGATGAACTCGCGTGACTACAGAGAAACAGAGAAAGACTAAGAGAGACGCATCTTCGGTATAAAAGTGAAGGTTTGTCCAAAAATGTATTTAAGCAATCGGCGACCTGGGTCCATAGCCACATGGTCACACGCGTCACAGTGACACAAGAGCGGACGTACACGTGTCGTTTCTCGGTTAGTTATCGATCAATAGATCTTCGTGAATTCGAAGGGATTCTCGGGAAGAAGTTTGGGTCGATCGAGGTCTCGATCGATCTCTTACAAAATCGGCGACGGAGCCCAGAACGAGTATCTAGAATTGTAAATGGAAGGTCTTGGCCATAGGTGGTCATAGGTGATCGTAGGTGGCCATAGGTGCCAGCTACACGCATGTCCTGGATTATACTCATACGGCATACTCGTACAATAGTTGCGTGTGCACCAAGGTATCTGCTTGTCCTTTTCTTCTTTCTTCTCTCTCTCTCTCTCTCTCTCTCTCTCTCTCTCTCTCTCTCTCTCTCTCTCTCTCTCGCAATATCGCACGCGGGTTCCCGCTTAACACTTTCAATTACCGAGGTCAACGTAGGGGTCGGTGCTGTTTGCGCACTTTCCTGATAACACAACGTGTAACTACTCTGGCTCAGGATAATCCTTGGGAATATAAAGTGTCCCGATCCCAGAGGTCTGGACCATCCTCGGGACTCGTGAGAGAAACTACGTTCGAGGAGAAGAGGCTATAAGGATAATAAAGAGAATGAGTGTGTGTGTGAGAGAGAGAGAGAGAGAGAGAGAGAGAGAGCAATAGGTGTGTAGTACACACGTATCACAGCATGTAGGTATAAGCCAGTGTCTTAGCGGGCTCTATTCGAGCGGCGCTAATTACCGTTAATTAAGTCCTGGCTCGTCGTTCGTCTGGCCCGTTGCCAGAAAAGTGACAAATGACGTTCATCAATAACCGGGGAACGCGGTCATCGGGCGAAAATTCTCAACGGCGCGATGACCTACCGACTATGCAGCCGACCTCCGGGGTTAAGCGAATCCATCAACAATTAACCTGTTCCCTCTGTTGCCTGTTCTCCGCAGCCTGGACTTGCGACATCCCCCCATCGCGGCCTGCCAATACGAGAGGAAGAGGATCCCCCCCTCCCGCCGGCGCTTACGTCACTTTCGCTAAGCTCAAACCTACGTCCAAATCGAGCGACGCCTCCGTCGTTCCTGCTGCCCCTTTTTCCCGAGGAAATTTCACTGGACCTCGTCTCGGGTCGGAGAAGAAGGAGTTTGCTGGAAAAAGTCTAAAGTACCGGTATATCCCAAGGAGGAGACTCTGCGCCTTATCCAATGAGGTGCGTGGATGAGGTAATGTGGGAGAGGTCGGGAGAGGTCAGCAGAGGTCGCGCACGAGGCACGCATGCCGGAATACAGGGTGCTCGTAAAGTCTTGATCAGGAAAAGAGTGCGCCAAGTATCCCGGAGGTGGTACCTCCGGGAGGCCGTGCACCCTGGGAAGGCTGCAGTGCGCATACGGGCAGCTGTTGCCAACGTCGGACGAAGGTAAAGAATCTAGTAGGCCAGGAGAAGAGGTACCTGAGAGAGGTCCCGGGTATCTCGGGGATTTAGAAGCCCCCCGGTCAAGACCTCGCCGAGACCTCGCCAAGACCTCGAGGTTAAACGTCGAACGTATCTCAGAAGGCTAAGGAGTCGTCGAACGTGATTTACGCAAAGTAATCTCATTGCGGCTTCGCGGCGCTCGTTAATGTCCCGGGTTAGGCGCCGCGACGCAATGAAAGACTCGACTTATACCGAAGCGTTTTTGCATAACTTGCATAATTTTCGATTAAATCTCTATAAATAAGAAACGCATTGCGCGTTGGCAGATCCGTGAGCGCAGTAGCAGCGGGATGACAGGGCGGTCCGATTACTTTTACCCGGGACCATCCGGAGGATCATCATCAGCGGGATAAGGTCCCTCCGAGGAATGGCCCCAGGACTACCGTAACCGTACCTAGGCAACGAGTAAACTCTGGACGATGATCGAACAACGCTAATAACAGCTCCAGAAGCTGTAACTTACTCGGCGCAGCAGCGCTTCGGGCACCTCGTAAGTTACAGTACGAAACGCCGGCGCCACAGCCACTCCGCTGCTACCACTTTGCCTTCCCTTTTCTCGAGCGATCGTCCAGTTCTCTAGGCATCTCCGCTCTCTGTCTTTTCTTCCTGCTGGCAATCCCAGAGAACACTTTGACGATGACTGGGCATTTTTTTGCAGGTCCAGCAGAGAGGTGGACGAGGTCGAGGCTGCCCGGTACGATGATGATGAGGAGGTTGACGAGGTACGGAAGATGAAAAGGCGCAAGTGGAAGCGACGCACGAGCTCAGAGAGAGGAGCAGGAGGAGCGCGAAGGGCACGAAGATCAGGGAGAGGCAAGGAGGAAGATGAAGGATGAGGAAGAGTCAGTGAGTGCAGCCGAGTGTCTATAGCCGAGGTACTGAACCTCCTCGACGGCGAATGGCGCGCGGTGCTGGAGTTCTCGGTGGATTAACTGGATTTCGCACTCTGACCGCGCATCTTACCGGCACCTAGCACTCGCTCTTCCATATGCATCGAGTGGCTGTCCGTACATGGCTCCGAAGATGGAAGCACCCATGGACCCATGGACGCGCGCTCACACATCCTCAGGGTGCCTTCCCCCCGTTGAGGTCTTCATCGACTCACGACATTGAGGAATATCTCACCTCTGCCTCGAATCGCTCGCGAGGCGATGCTAATCACGTCGAAAGATACCGGCTAAATTAAAGAAGACGTAGAGACGCGAGTCGGCGCCTCTTCATTAGCATAGTTCCTCCCATTAGGCGGTTCGATTAATAATCGTGCGGAGGGCTAAAAATGACGCGAGTCCATCTTTATCAAGAGGACTCCTGCTGCCTCCGGGGTCCAGGACGCCTTTGGGATCCAGTGTACCCGCACTCACTCTACACTGTACGTACCAGATACACGTGTGTGACTTACAATTAGCCGGAGAAAGGAGGTAGCTGAGCGACTGTCGGCGCCATGGACTCGGCGGTCCGTCCTAGGGGATGCTGGGCCGCCTCCCACGGGGCTAATGGGAAGCGATGGGATCGGTCTGTCAGTTGGCGCAGCTACAGGTCGAGAGGAGTCGAAGCGGACGAGTATCGCGTGCCAGGAGACGGTTAGCTCACGGAGCAGCGAGCTACCGCGCTCCGCTATCTTATTCTTAATGCCGTGATTAAAGTCGGCCGAAAGTTTAGTGGGCATTTTACAAATGTGAAAGGGATGGCACCGGGCGCAGATAAGAGCATCGCCCGGTGCTGGCTGGGCCTGGCCGGGGGGTGTGCCTCGAAGGAGGGGAGGCGTTTATCAGGCCGCGAACCTTAAGGACTCGAGACTCCATTTACTAGACCGTTAGTAGATAGCGAGGGTGCCTCTTATTTTTTCTCCCTCTATCGCGTTTTAATTATTGCCTACATTATCCCGAGTGGTAGCTGGAGGTACGTGGCCAGGACGAGTGGGACCAGGTGGAAGGCTGGAGACAGGGGTCGCCCCCCGATGGAGTCCTGCCCTCGGGTTCTGAACTTTCGAAAAGTTCAGGACGTCTCGGGGCGGTGATCCAGGGAGCAGCGGGACAGCGGGGTGCGGTCCTCCGAGTGAAACCGGTCGCGCTCAAGAAGGAGCGGAGGAACCTGAGCACGGGAGTCGCGGCTCTGGAGGTTTTCTGATTTTGTAAATCGATGCTGACCCCTTTGACCCGCGCCAGGCATCCCGTTCGAGTCTGGAGGGAGGGAAGGACTGGTGCTGCTAGGTAATAGGCAGATATGCGCGCGTCGTGCATTAGCTGCGTCTATGTGGCCGGACGCTTCCTGCATCTTGGCTTCCATGATAATTGCCTCGATTTATTATTTGCAGCGTTTACCCCCCTGGTCCATTACCGTATAGATAGGAACGAGAGAATTTGTCGCCTTCGCGAATCTAGCGTCTTCCGAAGAGTCCGCTCTCTAGCTCTGTGAGAACGAAGCTGCAGTTGCCATGGTTACACGAGTGGACGTAGTCAAATCGGGCAAATTGGCCAACTGGTAGGATACATCAGCAGGGCCAAGAGCGACAAGAGCGACAAGAGCGACAAGGTTCCTTTCCACCGTAGCTGCTGCTGCTCGGCTCCTCTTCCACGGTGGCCTCCGCCGATGCGAATGCAAATGAGAATGGACCCACCCGCAGATTAATCACGGGCTACCATTCTGGAATCGCCACGCATAGCCTTCATTAGTTGCTCCATCAGTTGCTCCATTAGTTGCTCTTTACTCGGGATTCCTGGCCGCTCCGCGCCTGCGCAAAGACTCCGGCGTGAAGTTTGGCCCAGTCGATCGGTCGAATCTCACGTCGTTCGTGGATCTTTTGAAAATTATATAATACTCGGACCATCCACCAGGTATAACGAGTGCGCTGTGATAATGGGAATGAGAATGAGACCAAGAGGTACTTGATGAGGAGGGTAGCCCCCTGACGCCCCTGACGCCCCTGACGCCCCTGATGGCTCTGACGAGTTAGATACCTTCGTGAGCGTTTATTCCGCCTCGTTATTTCACTTTGCGTTCAGTTTAGCGAGAGCGACTGGTTGCGCGCGGCACGCACAGTCCGCTTAACCTCGACAATTGAATCAAATCACGATTCGGGAGGGAAAGGGACGCGCGTACGTGTGCACCACACGTATTACTCCTGGAGACGCTCGGCGTCCCGAGGATGCGCGCGGCGGGGGAGGGAGGAGGCGACCGAGGAGTGAGAGGAAGATTGAATTAAAGAGGCGATGAACCGAGGCACGCAACGAGATTAAACGGTAAAAAATCATTTCGAACAAATGCTCGCCGTGCATGCAACCCGTCCAAATGTGAGAACGTTCTAAATTGTGCGCGGCTGACCCGTGAGCTACCTTTATAGCATTACAGAGCCATCAGAATCATCAGAACCATCAGAACCATCACCGGCGACGTCGGCAAAACGAGCATCACCTTCTCTTCTTATAGTTGTAATGCGCCCGCGCCGTTGCTCATTGTAGAAGATCGAGAAGATCAAGAAGATCCTCTCACGAGGAATCTACCGAGACCTGTCCTTAGAGTCTCAAACCAATCTGCCCGTAGTTCACAAAGGGTTCACAAACGGGCATTACTGATGAAATTCATCAGCCGAATCCTATCAATTCCCTGATACCATCGCTGGCCTTCCGGTGCTTCTCTCGCTGCCTTAAAGGGTTATCACTGCTTTTTCAAATTCAACATCTCTCTTTACTCCGCACTGGGAACCTCTGTGCAGACTTCGCGTGGAAGCAGAGAAAATTGTGATATTCTGAAAAAGTGCCGACACCTTCAATTCATCACGGACGGTCAACAGAGCGCGGTCCCGCGAGTGCCCAGTCCGAGTTAACTGATTTTTAATAATGGGTTTCGGGACGCGTCGGGGCTACCGGGACTCCTGGACGTTCCTAAAGGTTCATTCAGTTTTTCGAATTCTTCTTCGGCTTCATCTGAATCCACATTTGATACGTTCCTTCGGTTCTCCCTGTGTCTCCTGACGAAAGACAATAACTTGGATGTCCCAGAGTGACGTACGGAGAGGAGCAGAGGAAGACGAAGGAGAGCGGCCGTTACGTATAGGAAGAAGTCCCGGAAGTCGCACGAAACCAAGCGGAGAGAAACAAACCTTGAATCAAGTCGAAACATCCTTCGTTGCAGTGGAGGAGATATTGACCGAGACGCCTCGCGGGCCGCGCTGGATCGCACGGAGATGGACAATTGTTTTCCGTGAGCTAAATCAAGGTTGCGCAATGCAATTAGGATTACGCGGATACGCGCCGTGCGTTTAATCGAATCCAGGTATAGCTTAGGAATTCTAGAGAGGAAGTGGAGTAGTTTGGAGTACCGCTATTTTTAGAGGATGACTCTTACGTAATATTTTATCCTTTTAAATCGTATTTATTTGGTTTATCGTTTTTTAGATTTTTTTTTCTCATCCTAGAAAACAGCAAGGCTGCTGTCGTTGAATGGCTCTCAAGGATACCGCAGGAAGGAGTCTCGTCGCGACGCTCAGACGCTTCCCATTACTGTACAGGCAGGGCAATATTCGGACAAAGAGAAATCTCGAAAAGTATAAGAATGTAGCGGAAATTGTTCGTAATAGTTTGACACCCATGCACGCTGTTACCGCGATATCGCCCATTGACTCTCGGGCCCTCGTCTTCTCCTTCTTACGAACGGTTCACGAACGGCTCACGAATGGCTCACGAATGGCCCATTCAGAGAAAAACTCCGAAATCCGGTCGTCGAAATGAGCCATTGTTGGGGACGGCACGGGCGCACAAAAGAGTTGTGGGCTACCGTGTGACGTGCCTGAATGTATAATATACCAATGTACATATGCGCTCTGTGCATCTACATACGAGGTTCACCCGAGGAGACTTTAAAGCCAGCAGCTCGGAACTCTCGTGGCTTTTCCCCGAGAGTCCTTTGCTTCGAGTCTTCACATCTTCGGCCGGAGATAAAAGGAGGGAAATGGTCAAGGCGTGTCCTCGTCAACGGCGTTTCCCATGTTGACGCCGTTTCTGGGCGTCCCGGGTTGCCCTTCTTGGGCGTCGTTGATGGAGACGTTGGACAATGCTAGGTGGTCCTGAGGAGGAGCTCTCCTTTTTGATCTTGACTGAGGTCAAGGGTCTCGGAGGACGTTTGTCAGGATTAGAAGGGTTCGTTATTGTGGTATGGTAATTTTGCTGGGGTCAGACTAGGTGCCCGCACACAGCTGTGGTAGTTGCTCCGAGTTCTGAGGTCACTGAGAAGCGAATCGCTTTTTAAGAGAATCTTAAGCGAATTTTAAACGTTTCTTGCCTTTCTCTACGATCAAAACGCAGGATCGAAACGAAATCATTGCACCAGCGTGTCGCGTCTCCGGATGATGATCATCATCATCCGAGTGGAACGATCGGCGCGAGGTCCTCGAGGTCCTCGAGGTACGTAAGAGGGACTCGCAATGGGAATCGTGTGAAATTAATGCGCCCATGGATTCTACAGCCCCTGGGGTGGTACTTCTTTATTTTGACAGGATCCAAATTTATAACTATCTCTCTCCCAGTGAGACTTGTCACTTTTTTCCCATCTTTTTACCTTTTGCTCTTTCTCTCGGGCAACCTTAAATCCGATCCAGGTCACTTTATGCAAAGTAGGATTTGCATAGCATTTGACGTCCTCCTAGCAGCCCTGTGTCTCTCTGAGCTTGAATTTGATTCCTGGAACGAGAAGAGAAGGAACGGGCTGCTGGGACCCGAAGGAGAAGCAAAGTGACGCTGAGAGACGGAAATACCGAAATGAAGATGACTGCCAAGAGTCGATAGAAAAAAAAAAAAAAAAAAAAAAAAAAAAAAAAAAAAAAAAAAAAAAAAAAAAAAAAAAAAAAAAGAAAAAAAAATGAGGAATCAGCCTCTTCAAGAAGAAGCCACAAGGATCGCGTCTCACGTGAAATGGACCAAGTGCTCGAGGGCAAATCCACTTCTAACCCTCGTGAATCAGAGTCAGCCAGAGGTTGTCTCTTTCTTATTACGAGAGAGCGCTAAGAGCACGGAGCAGCGCCGAGTGACCTTAGCGGACAATCGCTTTAATTGAACCTAGCCTCGAGTGGTTTGCTTTGGATTTCGACCAAACAGGAACGTAGATCTCCTCTTGTTTTCTCGGCCTTGTCGAGTCAAGATAGAAAAATATACCCACGAGTGTTTTTACTGGCTTCGGACCTCAACTATGACCATTCAAATTCCTCTCCTGTTCATGATTTTTTGAGACCAAACTCAGAAGAGTATTCTTTCGAATTTCCTCTCGCTCGCAGCATCCCACGCTAAATCCTCCCAAACGGCGTCTTCGGCTGCGCACGTAAGTTCACCCAAATCGGGGCTCAAGAATTCAGCAGCGAGTAGCTACTATATACCGTGAAGGTCCTGTCGCCGCTCGATCCTTAATTCGAGCGCAGACTGGTCCAGCGATCCCGGCTAATCGACTTGGGTATATCCCGTGAGTAATATCATCCCATTAACCCTGGGTCCCCCGGTTGCGCGCATAAATAGAATCGTCTTTGCTCGTGAACGCGATCTCGGGCCAGCGGGTTAATAAATGCACATGTGCGCGGGTCAAGTCCCTCGACCGGATTGTTACTGCATAGTCCGTGGTCCATACTGGATGCTGCGGAGAGGCACGGCAGGACCCGAGCGAAGCTTTTTCGCGTATGGACTCTCACACGTAAATCTATGAGCTTGTTAGGGACGTGCTTGGGTCTTCAGGTAAAAGTCCAGTCGCCATCTTATACCTACGCGTGCCTCGCTCCTTCTTACGCTTATGAATTCATTATTCCCTAGAGACACGTCACGCTGTCCCTGTCTCACTTGGATTACGTTCACATTTCATATCATTCTGCATTTCTGCGTTTCTACATTTCTGGATGGTGCTATGGGATTCTATCTGGGTGTACGTATATATATAGCTCCCACCTACAGTAGGTAGAGAATAGGAGAATGGTTGATTGTAACAGAATAGAATGAGCGTGTGGGAGGTGAAGCTTTGAAAAATCTCTAGGAATAAGGTAAACTCTCAGGGTTTGATCTTTTCAGTATGAAGTTGCCTGTTCGAGTAATTGCTCTTTCTCTCTCTTCTTCTTCTTCTTCCTCTTCTTCTCGCAGAGGGCAGTAACGATGATCGAGACGAGAACCGAACCGGTCTACCGCTATAGATATAGCGACTATGGAGGCTCGAACGGTTCTCGCGCATTTAAATAATCCGACGCTCGGCGATCGTCTCAATTACGACGGCGGTGCGTCGCGCCGCGCGACCACCTGCTACGAGCTCATTAGTAAATGTCACAAATTGGTTTAATTAGAGGTCCCGTTTGTAGATTAATAAGCGTCCACCTCTGCGGAATCGAGTAATTGACTCGTTTATCTCTCGTTGGAATAAAGGGACGTCTCTGAGGTTCGCGTGTAGACCAACCTAACCCGACCTGACCTAAGCCAACCTAAATGGGTATAAATAGAATTGCTGTTTACAGACTGAGCTTCGGCGGTCTCTCCCTCTCTCTCGCTCTCTCGTATTTCCCCATATAAAGTGGATAAGATCACTCGAGCAGACTGTACATGGGTGCCTCGATATTTCTCGGGATTTCGAGCACAGAACCCGATCCCTCGGAGGCTGTAAATGCAAATGCGCGCCGCTCGTGGACCAAAGCGCTGCCTCTCACGCCACGGTGGTTATGGGGAAGAATCGCGTGTGCCGATCGGCCTTACACGATGGGGCCTTATGTCGCCGCTACCAGTACTAATCGTTCGGACGCTACTAATCGCTACAATTTTCCAGCGTGTGGCCGGCGGAGATCGGCTCGAGAGGATTTCGAATAAACGCGGCCCCGCTGAAATCGGCCTGAATTACGTATCCGAGGAGCGGAAGTTGCGTAACGAGTTCAGAGCATCGCGAGACGCAGAGCTCTAATCTCGGCGAGGCCCCGCGCACGTAATGGACTAGGTACCGATCTCCCGATCTAAGCGCGCATCGGCTTACCTTGATGGCTAAACACACGCAATCTTGGCAGGGCGCACGGGCGCGCACACCTACCAACAGCAATGCGAGCCGCGGGCCTCGCTCTTTCGCGGCGCAGGATTGTTCGCATCTAGGCCGATGATTCATTCGCACACGCTTTGGCGCTTCCCACACGTACACGAGCCTGCACCAGGAAAGGATCCCCGACCAGTCCTCTCTTCGATTTCAATATCCCTTTCCGGTTTGCGGAGCACTTGGACAGTGCGATTAACGAGGCTGC